AAAGGACTGGAAAGGACTATACAGAATGCATTGAAGAAACACCTGTGGCACACCCTGTGGCAAGGGTGAAATGGGTGAGGAAGAAGCGGCGCTGAGCACAGGCCAGCATCCCCGGTCCAGGCCATGCGTACGTCCTCTCCCTGGCATCCGGGACCGGGATGGTGAGCTGGGCACCAGGGTGAGACACAAGAACAAGGGCAGGAGCTGCCCAAGAGATCTGCGAAGAGATCGTGTTACAGCGCCCAGGAGGCCCTCGGTGACAGTAAAGCAATCGCCTGGCTCCTTTCCCGTCTCAGAGTTTCACGCAAACAACCTTAAGTCACATTTCTTTAAATCCTGGAAAAGCCCTGATGAAATCAGAAACTCGGTAAGAGTGGAGATTGGAGAAGAAGGAGGAGGAGAAGGACGGGGGTGGGGGAGGCGGAGAAGACGAAGACTAAGAAGACAACGAAGAGAAGAAGAGGAGTAACAAGAGGAAGAGACGGAGAATTGCTGGAGGCGGGAACCCAACCAAGGAGCCAGCTGCGTGCCTTCCCACAAGTCACTGCCCTGCCCTTAGCCACAGTTTCCCTCTGCGCCCGGAGCACAGCGCACAGAAGCGTGTGGGCCGGAGGAGGGCTGGGGTGGGGCCCAAATCCGCACCGCGGTGGCAGCTGGTGTTGGCCTAGGACCCCACCCTACACTGCAGCAGCTCAGTGACTGATGTCCCATAATGACGATGTAATTATCTCTAGTGCACCTTCTTATCTTCTTGACCCCCCTCTTCCTCCCGTGGACTCATTCACCCATTTATATCCACAACAAATAGTAGGGGAGTCATCCCGCTATGATCCGGACAGGGTTTGATTGCTGCCCCCGAAATTTCATGCGGTGGAAGCTTAGACTTCAGGGATGAGGCTGAAAGGCTGTGGCCCCTTTAAGAGGTGGGGCCTAGGGTAAGATTAGGTCACAGGGGTGTGGCCTCAGAGGGATTAATGCGGGTCTCTGGTCTCTGGGATGCTGGTCAGTTCTCTCAAGAGAACAGATTGTCCAGATTGAGGGCACCAGCGGAGGTGCTTGGCCTCTCCACCCAGCTGCTCTGCCATGTTATGACGCAGCCAGCTAGCCAGGAGGCCCTGGCTCAGAAGCCACCACGGAGCAGTACTATGTAGAATGGTACAGCAGCTGCCCGCTTCCAATCCTGTCTTCTGCCACTTAGTTGATGAGCTTGGGCCATTACTTAATTTCCATGTGCCTCAGTTTCCTCATCTGTAAAATGGGCATGAGGGTGGTAAAGCCTATCACCTAGGGGTGTAGAAGAGATTAAATGGATCATCATAGAGAAATTGTCTGGGACAGTGTCCCACATCTAGAAAGCTCTACCAGTGGGACGTCAGCACCATTATCACCTCATCATTCAACCCACAGAAAAGTTTAATGAATTAGAACCAACCAGATGTAGGCTGTCCATGCTGAGAATAATCCAGGAGCTGCCTAGGGTACCACCCCATGTCACCCTCTGTGTGGGCCCCTGATCTCTCCTGGAGTGCTCAGAGGTGGGGGTCCCACAGCTGTTCCACATCTCTGCCCTTGCAGAGGCACTTTCTGGGGACCTGTCCAGCAGCCATTGCAGAGCCCCGAGGCCACGGTCTCTCTGTGGACCTTCCTGCGGGAAGTTCTTCCTTCTACCACGCCACAGCCAGCCAGCCCGAGCTGTCACCATGTCTCTAGAGCTCCCGCCTTCAGAGCTGCTTCATCTCCACACACCCAGCCACCCCTCGACTCGGTCTCTTACTGCACAGGGCCTGGGACCCCCAGCATCTCTGCCTGCGGAGCCCCCCATCTGGTGAGCCCAATCTCACTGGACAATACGGTCCCCATGTCATGAATGCTCAGAAGAAAATGGGCAGCGTCTAAAGCAGGCAACCCAGAGCTGTGCCTGAGCTAAGGCATCAGGAAAGGCTTCCTGGGTGGCAGTTGTTTGCCAAAAGTCAAAGCATTCTCTCTCTCTCTCTCTCTCTCTCTCTCTCTCTCTCTCTCTCTCTCCTCTCTCTCCCCTCCCCCCATACTGGGCATTAAACCCAGGACCTTTGCACTGAGCTGCATCCTCACTACTTTAAAAAAAAAAATCATTTTTTAAACAGGATCTCACTAAGTTGATGGGACTTGAACTTGAGATCCTCCTGCCTCAGCCTCCCACAGTGCTGGGACTGCAGGCGTGGGCCACCATGCCTGGCTGCATCCTTCTCTTTTCTGGACTGGACATCCTCTTCTGCCTCCTGTGATCACTCTGCCAAGATACCCATGAGACACCAAAGAGGCCGGTCCCCTCCACATTCCACCTGACAATGCCAAAGTGCCCCCACATTTTTGACAGCCACGTCCTCTGGTTGCTGTTGAAATCCTGACATTATGTTTGTCTTTTCTGTTAGACCAGGAATCCAGGGCACAAAAGAAAGAGCACGCAGTTGGCAAGAGCCTCCCAGTGGCCACAGGGCAGGTGTGGGGGGTCCCTTCCTGCCCTGCGCAGATTTCCTCTGCTCCTGAACCTCGCTGTGCCACAGTCACACTCACCTATCTTCACGCTGCTTGCTACTGCCAAGTTCTGCAATTGAGGCCCGCTTCCCTGAGAGCACACCGCTCCAGCCCACCTCACTCTAACAGATCTCTCAGCCCTTGTCTCAGTGCTTGCGCACCTGTCCTCCCTGCAGGCAGCGTGACCACCTGGAGACACAGAGAGCGCCCCATCACTCTCCTTAAACCCTTCTGTGGCTCCCTGCGGCCCCCTGCAAGAGACCAAGGCCAGCGCCTGCCTCAGGTTCTATACAAGGCAGGTCTCCCCATGTTCCTGAAAGCCTGTCCGTGCTCCGGGGGACCTGTTCCTCATCCCCAAATCCTTGCCTCCAGGCTCCTCACCTGACCGCAGTCCAAGCATCCCACTACCCATGAATCGTCCACACTGACTGGTTCTGCCTCCTGCAGAGCACAGCTGTGCTAATACTGTGACCAAGTTCACAGAACCTCAGAACAACTACGTGTGGGCAGCAGCATGACCCTGTTTTATAGATGAGGAAACTGAGGCAGAGAAGTGCAACTCTGTGTCCTGGCCCTCCCTGTCTGCACCATGCCACCCTCCCTCCTTCTGCACTGGATGAGACCCCATCAGCCTTCCCTGCCCAGGGCCTGGTGGGCACTGTGGGTGCTCACTCCAGGCAGCTGTGCAGAAGAAAAGGCCACGGCCCAGCCCCAGGACCCCTGTGCCAGGCTTGGCTCCCTCCCTGCTGCCCTCTGACAGGATCAAAGGTCATGCTCCAAGAGTGAAAACTGAGGTAAGATGGGAGCCAGGGGTGGAGCTTGGCCCCCTCACAGAAGCCCTTGCAGCTGCCTGCCTCACAGGTGACAGTGAAATCATCCCTCCCTGAGAACTCTAACAGAAGACACTGCATTGCAGAGAGAAAGAGGCGTCCGACTGCATGGTTCCCTTTATAGGAAGAGTCCAGGCAGGCTCCTCTACAGAGCGAATGGGTGGTTGCTGGGGACAGGGGCCTCTGGGAGACACTGGGGCCTGCAGCAGTGAGGTGGCATAAATCTACACGTACACCAAAACCCCCTGCCTACACACTTCAGATCAAGCTGTGACTCAGAGCGGGAGCTTGCCATACCAGTGGAGGACCAGAAGCCTGAGGAAACCGCAGCTGCAACCAGGGAGGGTACCATGCTCCCAGGGGAGAAACAGCGAAGCCCTGTGCTCAAAGATCCCCTACCTCCACCCGGAAGTCAGCAAGTGTCGGCAGCAGTCCCCAGGGACCCACGCTCACTGCCACCCCCTCCTGCACCCCAGCCTCCCAAGCGCTGGGATTGCAGGTGTGCACCCCCACTGCTGCACTTTCAAGTAGGAGTAGCTGGGGCATTTGATTAATGGTCCACTGAATGTCACAAAGCATATACACTGTGACATAACCAGGCATCTGTCACCTCCAAAAAAAATCAAATCCTTTCCTAGCAAAGGGCACAGGCTATGCTATAATCCCTCCTTGCTACCAACTTTTTTAAGTAGGTCGATTTTTTTTTCTTTGTTATTGTCCCAAAAGTCTTCACTTTGCATATCCAGGAGAAAAAATGAAATCCTTCCTACCCAGAGAGGTCTTGAAATCCACACTGAAACTCAGAGACTTTCCCTAGAAGCCTTTGCTCCTGGCTGGTGGGTTCTGCAGGTGGCTTTTCTAGGACATGAGCCTGAATAGGTCTTCCAGAAGCACCAGACAGAGCCTGGCCCGAGGCCAACCCCATCTGCTGTCTGGCTGTGACTCCTGGGGAAGCTCCCTGCAGCGCATCCTCTTGGCTTCTCTCTCTCTCTCTCTCTCTCTCTCTCTCTCTCTCTCTCTCTCTCTCAGCCTCTGGGCTCTCCCTAAAGCCACAGCCACTCAGAACAGCCAGGCAACTACCACTGTCTTGGCTTCTCCAGCTCTTCCTCCTGGAGGAATCAGGACTCAGAAGGGTGACAGAGATAATCTCAAAGCCAGCTTCAGGGCCCACCTCAGTTCTACAGTGCACACACCCCGCATGGACAGGTGTGACTACAGGACAACCTGCCATGGGTGCGCACAGCCTTCGCCTTGGGGGCAGCCGCTCACCTCCCTTCCTGCCGTCTGCCCCTCCTCTCCTTGGCAGACCAGCTGGCTGGCTGCGTCCAGGGAGAAGCCTGCACTCTCTCCTGCCCTTTGTGTGCTCTGACTTCCAAATGTCGGTGAAGGCATGACCCAAGGCTCAGAGCCAGCCTGGGAAAGGGGGAGGGGAGAAGGTGAGGGAGGAAGGCAGGAAGAGGAGGGAAAAGAGGAGGGAAGGAAGGAGAGAGGCAGAGAATGGAGCTCCCACTTAAAGAAAGAATAGGCACCAAGCTGGTACCGGAACCTCTCTCACCTGTGAAGTCAGTACACGAAAACCCCTTAGGGTCTTGTCTTGCTGTCTTTTATAGTATAGGCGCTGGCTTCCCAGCTGTCTCAGGGTGGGAAGCCACCAACCTCCCTAAAACAATAGTTTTTAGAATAGGTCTTTGGGCCATCCGGAGCAGTGTCCCTGATGGTCACAGAAACTGAGGAAGACCAGAAGAGCCCTGAGAGCAGTCAGGGTGGCCTGAGCCGGGCACTGAGCCCAGGATCCCAGGACCCCAGGATCCCAGGCACTTAGGGGAGGAGGCACATGAACCTCTGTGTCCCGCAAGAGCTGCACTCCCAGACCACATGCAGTGCCTGGGGGTCACTCAGACAGTGGCTTCTCCAGCGGCCCCTCCACACCACCCCTTCCTTCCATGCCTCCTGCCTGCCCACTTGGTTCTGAATCACATGTGTCCCCTTTGGCCTAAATCAGCATCCACTTTGGCCCGTGTCACCTCCAAACTCCTCTGCAGAGCAACCACCCCAAGCCCCCCACTCCCACTCGTTGCCCCACTCAGTCACCCCACTTTCTCAACCCCCACCTTGGACCAGGCCCTGCAGCAGCGGTTCCAGGACAGAGAACAGCCGCACACAGCTCCGCGGGTAGCCGGTAGAGGGGCTGAGGAGCCTCAGGACTGCGGTGTCCACCCAGGACACTGCAGGGGGACGATGTGGTTAGAGCCACAGAGGGGTGGTGGGAAGTCTCCCCAGGGGTGACAACGCTTGAAAACCAGGCTTGGGACGCACAAAGGCCAAAGGGAGGGTGGAACGGGGTTCGCAGGAGGCAAGGAAGGAGCCTGGGACGCTCTGTGTGGCCTCAGGCTCTGGGGATCCCGGTACGCCAGGAGAGGGCAGGAAGGGCCACCAAAGGCCACTTCAAGAGAAGCACCGATGGCGACCCCGGGCGTCTAAGTAGCGAGAGCTGTGAGCAAGTTTGTGTAACTGCAGCTCCGAAGAAGGGAGGCGGAGCTGGGCAGCAGCAGCGCGCACCCAGTCCTACGCGAAGACAGAAGACAGCGCGGAGAGCGCTAGGGAGGTCGAGGCAGGCGGCGGCGGCGCACTCACCGCGGAGCCAACGCGCGCCGGCGTGCGCGTCCTTGGGCCGGATGAGGCGGCGCTGCGCGTAGCTGCGGCCCATGTACCACAGCATCCAGAACAGCTGCAGCAGCATGAGCGCGGTGAGCAGGCCCAGCAGGTCGCGCTTGCCCATGCCCGCCGCATGCACGGCCCAGGCCAGCAGGAACAGCAGCCCCGCCACAAATACGTTCAGCCCATACTGGCTGCTCAGCGCCTCCGCCAGCTTCTGCGGGACGCTGCTGCGCGCGCCGCCCCTCCGGGCTCCCGGGTACGCGGGAGGGCCCAGGGTGCTCGCAGGCGCTGCTGGCATCTTCGGAGCGGGCGCCGCGTCTACCCCGAGGTGCTGTGCTCGGCGCGGCCGCGGCTCCTGGCTCCTGTCCTTACCCGACGCCCTCTGTCCGTGCCTTCCCCTCCGCCCCCCACCTCCCTTCCCCTGCCCCTGCGCCTCCCACAAGGTTCCCGCCCTGCTGCCCTCCCGCCCCGCGCTCCCCGACACCTACGGCACGGCACGCGCCCCTCTGTCCCCACGCAGGCATCTCCCGGCTCAGATTCCGCGCTGAACCTCACCCTGCCCGGCGCCCCCCCCCCTCCCGTGTGTCTCCCTGCACCCCGGGCCTCCGCCCTCACGCCGCTCCTGTGCGGACCTAGCACCCACTCCACCCAGGCCCCAAAAACAGTAAAGCACAGAGGTGCAATCGCAGCATTGGGGAAGGGAGGACACCAGCCCAAGGGGTGGCGAGGGCACAGATGTGACCAGCTTGGGAGCTCCACAGCCATCTGGCTGCTCCCTTGCACGCCCGTGTGTGTGTGTGTGTGTGTGTGTGTGTGTGTGTGTGTGTGTGTGTACCTGTGCGCGCGCGTGTATATCCCTACACTTGTCTGTTCCTGCCCTCCCAGGGTTTGTGGGAGCACACTGTTCTTAGGGCATAGAGGGTAGAGGAGGGGTCTCCTGTGAGTCTCTGTCTGTCTTTTGTGCCTGTGTGTTGGGAGGACAAGCGGCCTGAGCCAGCTTCAAAGGAAAGAGAGCATCCTTCCTCCTCTTCCAAGGAATCCTGGTGCATGCAGGGACGGGGAGGGGGGGGTCCATCACCAGGCCCCCAGCCATGGGGTTCCCAGCCCTCCGCATCGCTCCGCTAGGGAGCCAGCAAGAGGCTGCTTTCTGGTGGAGAGGAGAGGGCAGCGGGAGAGGGGAGCTGGGCCACACCCTGGGCGACGCTCTGTGCCCTTCGGGATGGGCACTTGGAAGACTCCTTTCCCCCTTGGCTTGCCCTTTCCAGTTGCTGGCCCTCCTAACAAGGGGCCCATATTTTGGGTTTGCTCTGAGCCCAGCTAACTGCAATAGCAGGTCCTGGCCGCTAAGGGCATGAAAGCCTTGAACCCACTGGGAGTCCAGCCAGGCCTGATCTTCGCTCATTCAGTCAATTCATTCCTATCCCCTCCGCACTCAGTGTTTACCTGGCTCTGTTCCAGGCGCCGAGGATTCGGCTCCTCCAGAGCTCCTCCTCCTCCAGACGGACTCGCTGGCAGCTGTTCCAGGAGCATCTCTGGGAAGCTGGAGCTGCCTGCCACTCCAGACAGCCCTGCCCTGCCCTTGGAGGAGGGCATGGTCCACGGTGCAGGAGCTGCCAGGAGGGAGGGCCTGCTGCCGGGAAGGCTAGGAGGTACCCAGAGGCAACACCTTCAAGACCTTTGCAGATGGAGCTGGCAGGTAGTGCAGGTGTGGACAGGCCCTGCCAGGAGGGGACCCAGCCTGGAACAAAGGAAGGATGTGAGATGCCTGCCAGACTCCAGGACCTGTCCACCAGGCGTCTTGAGGCTCAGCAAGTGCCCGCAGCTGTGTCTCAAGACTGGCAGGGGGCACTCAGTAAGGGCACCATGCCTTAATGAGCGCATAAACACAGGGACCCACAAGTGGGCGATGGAGGCCTGCACCGCCCTGCAGACAGTGAGGGTGCAGGGCGAGTCCTCAGGCATCTTTCTCCACACTCTGTCCCCTTAGCTGGCTTTATTTTCCTTCTTAAGAATGTATTACCTGCTCTGTGCACAGCCTGTGGCCAGTCTCTCTTGCTGCATCAAACTCTTTGAGAAGGGCTCTGTCTTGTTCCCTGCTATCTCCAGCTTATGCCCAGCACATAGTAGGTGCTCAGGAAAGATGTAGGATGCATGGATGGATGCATGGATGGTTGCATGGGTGCATGGATGATGGACAGAGAGATGAATGGGTGAATGGAAGGATAGGTAGACTATGGAAGGATGAGTGGATGGACAGATGAATGGATGGAAGGATAGGTAGACTATGGAAGGATGGATGAATGGACAGATGAATGGATGGAAGGATAGGTAGACTATGGAAGGATGGGTGGATGGACAGATGAATGGATGGAAGGATAGGTAGACTATGGAAGGATGGGTGGATGGACAGATGAATGGATGAATGGAAGGACAGGTAGACTATGGAAGGATGGGTGGATGGACAGATGAATGGATGGGTGAGTAAGTGGATGATGGTTGTAAAGAAAAGGCTATCTGAGGTTCCTGCCTGCTCTGTCCTTGTGGCATTTCTCCCTCTCCATCAGCCCTATTTCTCACCTATCAGAATATCTTTTTTAAGCACCTTTTTAGTTCTGAGCCCCCTAAAGACAGAATAATATCTGACTCGTTCTCTCCCTGCATTAAGCATGTGCTTTTCTCAACGCACTGAGGACAGCAAGGTGAAATTCACAGCTTGTGCCAAAGCCATGAGGACCAGAGGGGGAGAACTATGGCTGGCAGATGGCAGGGACCCCATGAGTGCCCCAGACCCTGTAAACAATAAACGACTTTTATTTCACATCGCAGTTTCACAAAGCACAGTCCTGTCTGTTAGCTCTTTTGCACAAATCCGCCCAAGTCCAGACTACTTGCAGGAAAGGCAGCATCAAGGTGTGGTGGGGGAGGCGGGCTTAGGCCAGTTCACAGGATCTGAATCCAGTTCCACTGTTTACTGCTGTGTGACCCTCGACGAGTTACTAAACCTCTCTTGGCCTCATTTGCTTCATCTAATAAAATGAGGCTCTTAAAAATGACTGTGCAGGACAGGGAGATAGCTCAACATCATAGGCACCTGCCTGGCAAGTGCAAGGTCCCAAGTTCAATCGCTGGTACCGCATGCTAGGCTGGCGACCAAAACTGGGCATGGCGGCACATGCCTGTAATCCCAGCTCTGGGAAGGCTAAGCCAGGAGGCTCACTATGAGTCTGAACTGTGTAGCGAGACCCTATACCAAATAAATAAATAAATAATCACATACAAAAAGATGTTAATAAAAGCATTCTTTCACCTCTGCAATTGCAAAGCCTTTAGCTATGCTAAGTAGAAATCCAGCTTGAGTCACTGCAAGAGACAATCAAAACCTCTCCCTGTCCCCAGCCCTGGCTGTTTCTAGACTCCAGGGGCCCTTGACTGGTGAGGGGGAACAGTGCTCCGACATCGCGTGTGCACCTTTCTCCCAGCCCTCCCCAAAGACTCTGCAGCCCACACCACAGCCACCGTCCAAACACTGTTCTCAGGCAGCCGTCAGCACGGCCTTTTTCCTTCTCAAATGATGTCAAACAGCTATGACACTGATGTGGAACACCCCTGCTTACCTTCCCTCCTGCCGCCCCAACACCACACGCACCATGGTACTTGTGTCCAACCCAGAACTTTAACACTGATAGAATACTGCAAACTAGCCAGGCAGGGCGGTGCAAGCCTCGCATCCCAGCACTCTGGGAGGCTGAGGCAGGAGGATCGCACGTGTGAGCCCAGCCTGAGCAACTCATCAAGACCCAGTCTCATAATAAAAAATAAAAATAAATTCAGTGTGAAGTTCCTGGATTTCATCCTTAGTATAGGGAACACTAATGCCACTAGGCTCCAGCCTTTTTGCTGCTCTTTCCACTGCCATGGGTTTTTCTATGCAGACCTTTCAGTAAACTCAAGACATAGGTGGAACAGATTCCCTGTTCACTTCTCCTGCTGGGATACAAGGTGTGGGACACGGGGCTGTTCTGCGGAAGCCATCGCAATGGTCGGGGTCCCCGACCCCAGACAAAGCGTATAGACGGGGAAGCTCATAGCAGTATGATGTGAAGAGAAAGTGCCTGGGATCTCAGGGAGCAGGGGTGACCCAGCAGGGGTGGAGCCCAGCCTGCCCTGCTAACCCCTGGAGTCACTCACTCCGGGGCAGACAGCCAAGGTCCGGATGCCTGGTCAGCAACTCAGGGTTGGTCTCCGCTGCTGCAGAAAACATTGTCCGGCTTGGCTCTCCAGTGTCTCAGGGTCAAGTCAGGAAGACTAACGTGCAGACTGAATATTCGTGCATATATAAATATCACAGGCAGCAGGGACTCTGAGACATTAGGTTGTAAAGGCAGGATGGACTAGAGCCCTCACCGGAGACCCCTTCTGTCATGTGAAGTTACAGTGCCAAGGTGGCCACCCAGGCCCTCTCCAAACACATCTGCTGGCACCCTGGCCCGGGCCTTCCCAGCCTCCAGAACTGTGCAAAAGGTGTATCGGGTATTTATGCAGCAGCACACCTGTGGTGTTTATTACAGCAGCTGAAGTAGACCCCAACTTCCATGGTCAGGGCTGCAGGTGCCTTTCGCCACATCCTGCTAGGAATAAGGGCCACAGAGGCTGAGATCACAGGGAACCACCTACCCACCGCCTATTACATAGCCCGAGCATTGTTAGGGTTTGCCTCCAGAGTCCCCTCACCAAAGCTTGAAGCACTCAGAGGTGGACTTTGGGGAGGCAGCTGGATCAGGAGAAGCCGTCCTCACCAGTGGACTAGTGCACCGATGACTCTTCAGCGGAATGTGCTGCTTTCTTGCTGGAGGATTTCCCTTTACCATCATCCTCCAGGGCCACCACCATGTGGGCCATAATACTAGCTGTCCACTTTGGGGTGGTGTCACCCTGTGAAGCAGAAGCACCTGAGACCTTGCGCTGAGCCTTTTCTGCCCACAGGCGAAAGTCTCAAGTGGGCATTGAGCTAGCCCCCCTGCACACACAGCTCACCTGACTCCAAGCCTGCTTGAGGTCAGTCCCACACAGACCCCTTGCGGTAGACAATGCGCTGCCGGGGTGCAGCCCAGCCTGATGGCTTCATGGCTCACATCACACCCGCTTCACATAGGGAGCTTGTGGTCACTTCTCAGGAGAGAAGTTGTTTCTCCAAAAGGAAGCAGGCATCTGCAGAAAGGGGTCTGGGTTTGCCCCAAATCTTTGGCTCTGGGCTGTGATTCTCCTGCTGGCCCCTGCCAGCCTCTTCCAGCATCAGTG